TTTTTGGTACTGACAATCAAACTCAGGACCTTGCACTTGCCAGGCAGGTGCTTATGCTGCTGAGCTATCTCCCTGGTCCCACATAAACTGTTTTATTTGAGTTTAAAATAAAGTCAGGACCTAATAGTTTTATTCAGTTGACTAGCTTTGTTAAAGGAGTTGTAGAGCAGATGTTTTCTTTTTTATAATTCTTTCCATACAAGGTCTCACTGTGCAGCTCGGATTCGTACTGATCCTCCTGTCTCAGCTGCTTCAGCACTGGGGTTAGAGGCGTATACCACCACACCTGGTTTTGGGCCAGCATGGCATGCAGTACCAGGGATTGAACTCAGACCTTGCGCTTGCCAGGCAGGAGCTTATGCTGCTGAGCTATCTTCCCAGCCTGAGCAAACATTTTCAATTATTAAAATAAGCTAAATATGTAGGTACAAGGGTTTTAACAAAATTTTATTTAAAGCAGATCTGTAATATACCATAGGCCTGAACTATTTAAACTTACAGGTTTCAGACATCACCTTAAAATGAGTATATTTATAACTTTTTACTACACTGAAAAAATTCACCCAATACATACAAGATCTAAATGTTCAATATAGCCTTCATTGTAAAAAAACTTCTAAATGTCCACAAATAAAGGAATATAAAAGTCATAGTACACTCATATAATGGAATAATATAAAATATTAAAGTTAATGAACTAGATAGATAAAGATTACAAGGGTATAATCCACTTTTTTTTTTTTTTTTTTTTTTGTACCAGGAACTGAACACAGGACCTGGTGGTTGCCAGGCAGGTGCTTATGCCATTAAGCTATATCCCTGGTCTGAACAGGGTATAATCGAAAAAAGATAAATGTTATCTCAAACACAGCACTGAGTAAAAATCCAGATTTATACAGTGTTTAACAACCACACAGCTGGGGACGCAGCTCAGTCACAGTTCTTGCCGTGTGTGCATAAGGCCCTGGGTTCAACATCTAGCACCACAAAAAACAAAAACAAAACTCCCACAACTCTGAAAAACCACCTAGCCAAGCGGTGGTGGAGCACATCCGTACTGAGAGCAGGTGGGAGGCTGGGGGAGGACTGCGCGAGTCTGAGGCCAGCCTGGCTACGTGGTGAGTTCAAGGCTGGCCGGCACTGAAAGTGAGACTATCCCACCCAACCAACCAACCACACGCCCACCCAAAGCAGCATTATATGTTCTTTAAGGGTACATAAACCTGCTGTAAAAACACAAAAAACACGGGAAGTATATTCTGAGGAGGAAAAGATGATAGGAACAGAGACAAGGAGAACATCATCTCAGGTTGCCATATTCTATTTTCCCTTTTAAAATAAGGCAAAATGATCTCGTCTATTAAACTTGGGTGATAGGGACCTGGGTGTTATATTATTTGTGTTTGAAACATATTGGAAATAAAATGAATTTTCTAATGTTTGATATTAATAAGCGAAAACTGTTTAAAGACATTACTTACAGGCCAAGCTGGTGGGACAGAAGCTACCTCTGGAGTATGAAAGTAAGCCACGCCATTATGGTAAGTGTAAGGGTACCCAGTTGAAGTGGTTAGGTACATTGTTCCAGCAGCTGGCATTACACTAGAACCTGAAGGAGAGGTTAAACAGTTGAGATATTTAACTTTCAAATATGTAATTTCTGAACACTTCTGGAAAATATTTAATAGAACTGCAAAGATATAGTAAAATATCACAATTTTTTTTTTTTTTTTTGAGACTGGGGATCAAATTCAGGACCTTGCCCTTGCTAGGCAGGCGCTTAAGCTGCTGAGCTATCTCCCCAGTCTCTCACAAATGTTTTTAAATTTCATATATCAAGCTATCTTTGCAGCATGTACTGTAAAATTCATTGCCTTGTAATTTTTATTAGCTTGAGGTAATTAAAACAAATACAAGGTTAATAAAAAGTATTAAAAATCTACCAATTCAGATTCTAACACCAAGGGGCCAGGGAGATGGCTCAGTAGAATAAGCGCTTGCCTGGCAAGCGCAAGGGCCTGAGTTCAATCCTCGGTTCCACCAAAAACAAACAAACCAACTAAAACCCAAAAACACAGATTCTAACACCAGTGTAACGACACACAGAATTTAACAATAAACATTATCAACTGTGTCACTTTTATAAACAATTTAGAGTTAGAAGACTAAAGACACTAAAGTTCCTAAGATTGTAGACCTAGTTTACAAAGTTCAAAGATGACAGCAGCAGGCAGGGGAGGTAAAGAAGATTCTGCTTTCCTCAAGACTTCAGGATTCTACTCTGCTACTGCCTGGGTTACTGCCAGCAGGCATTCATCCATCTGTGATTCTCTTTTGTGTCCAGTCTCCCTCTGTTACAAGTGTCGCTCTTGAAAACAGGTCAAGTCTTCGTATAGCTAGTCTGGAAGTTCAGAATTTCCAACTCTTTTTCTAAGCCAAGTACCTCCGATCAAAAAAAAAAAAAAAAATCAACTGGGCATGATGGCACACAACTTTAATGCCAGTACTTTGGGAGGCTGAGTCAGGAGGACTGCAAGTTTGAGCCCAGCCTAAGCAATTTACTAACTCACCAACACCCTGTCTTAAAGAGATAAGATAGGGCTAGGGACAAAGGTCAGTGCAAATACCTTGAGTTCAGTCCCCGGTACTATCAAAAACAGAACAAATCAAATTGTACACACTCTTCTGTCATGGAGGAGACTTTAAAAGTTAGAATCTGTACTAGCAGTTTTATAAATGACTGGGACTGTTAATACTTCTGCAACCATACCTGTGCTTCTCAAAATTCCACACACACCAGAGTCACCTAGAGAGTTTATTAAGCCACTTATAGTTTGTGGGCCAGAGCAGCTGACACTGTGGTTTGCAAACAGCATCAGCTCGCTTGAAGATGGTCGGCACACAGACTCTGGGCCCTACTGAAGATGTCTGGTGTGGGTCCCTGGAATCCATATTCTTTTGTGGTAAAAAATCCCTATATATAAATTTTGCTAAAATAACTTTATTATATGAAAAACATGCTATCTTTATACAAATTCTAATATTTCACAAAAGGGTCATGCAAAAATATAGAAGAACACATTAATTTTCAATACATACGAGAGATTCCTACTTGTTGTTTTCTTATTGCTGGACCAATGTTCAGTTTTTTATCTTTATAATTAAGTTTTTCAGCCTAAAATAAAAAGTAAATTATTTTATCATTTTGGCATTGTATGAGTATAAAACCAATACTGAAAAATGAATAGGAGATCTTTTTAAACATTAAGAGTCTAATGCCTTTGAAAGGGACAGAGCACAGTGGAAGAGCAGGTTTTCGGACTCGGGGCACCTGAACTCCAGTCTTGCTTCTGATGCTGCGACCCCGAAGCCCTGTCTGTAGTGCAGTCCATCCTCTGTTCACTGGTTCAGTACTTGCGCCTTCCCAGTTGGTATCTGTGATGTCGAGGCTATTGTGGACACTCACAGAGTGGTCAATGTTCGAGGAGTCACGCACACAGGCTCCTAGCTGAGGCCACACGAGGTGAGGCTTCTCCTTGTTTTATTTCATTCGGTGCTACGTTTACCCCACTTTTGCTAGTGATTCTGTTACATAAATGGCTTCAAGTCTAGTGCTAAATGCTGGCTGTGTCCCTAAGCCCAGCAAGACTGTCTGCAGACCACAGACAGACAGAAAGCACGTGTTGGAGGTTCAGACATGAACCATGGTGCCGCTGGTCATGAACTCAATGTTAATAGATCATCAACCTGTTAAATATGGTATGTATAAATGGAAATGCGCACAGAACAAGGTTGCATGTGCACTGGGTGATGGCGCAGGAGCACTTGGGGCCCTGGCGCTGCTCTTTTCAACGAGAGCAGCAGGGAACAACTTCACTGACTCAGCACACGTGGTGACGCTGAGGCTTGAAGCTACTGTGACTAGCAAGAATGGACTACGGGTTTGACAGTATGAAAACTTTTACATTTCTCTAAAGAAAATGAATGCTACATTTGCTACAACTTAAAGCTACTTCACTTAATGGCAGGCCACAGATTTTTTCTATGAATGTTCCTCGTTCATACAAAGCAGTGATGGCAAGCCTTGCAGAGACTGAGTGCCCCAACTGCACCCCAAGCCCGCCGATGTACCACAAAGTGCCAAGCCTGCAAGTGAACCTGAGCACCGAAGTTTCAATTTAGAAAAAATCTTCTGTCTTAAAGGACAAATACAATAACAGGGCTTTAAATGCTGCAGACAGCCTGCGGTGCACACATGCCCTTAGTCTGTCACTACTGATATAATTTTCATAGAAGGTAAGCAATTTCAGTTACTAAAGATACATCCCGCAGTTACTAGCTAAGCAAACAGATTGAAAACTTATATTACAACCTCACAATCACACTTAAATAATGATGCAGAGATTGTGTTTCTGCAGTTTCTTGGAGACCAATGGCAATTCTTTTTTTTTTTTTTT